GAAACTAAGTCAGATTGTGTTCCACTTCATGGCTGTGGAATTAAATGTGTTATTGAAAATCAGGAAATTATTATCAGTCTCCTCCTCGCTTAAACCTCGTTGTCTCGCCCCCTTTCACCTTCCTCTTTCATGCCTTTGCCCCCATGTCACAATACAATAGATATCCCACCTATTTCAACTGGCGAATTTCAAATGAATAATTGAAAGGGATATCAATCCTAACCTGATTTTTTTCTAATCTCTACCTTTTCTCTTCTAATTTTTCTCGGAGAGGAATTAAAGCCATCGGTCCCCTAGTTGCCTTTTTACAATCATACACAAGCTTTCTTAGCAGTAAGGTATATAAAGCAAACCATCAAACCAGACCTATCTTGCTTTCTTCTCCTCTTTCTTTTTTTCTCGAGATTCTTCACAATGTCTCTTTCTCTTCTGGCCATCTCCTTTTCATCTTATTATCTTCCCATATTTCATTTTCAATTCCTTCATCTTTTCTTCATCCTATCCCTCAATCCTCAATCGTCTCTACACCATGATTCTTCCTGAACTCTTCGTGGAAGCTGGTCGAATAGCCATCTATTTTCGTTATTCACATCAATTCCAAATCACGGAACCCCCTTGGCAATACCGATTCTTTTCAGTCTTTGTGGCAAGTGCTAAGTACCGGTACGGGCAATCCATTAAACGGTTATTCGTCAAGTTGAAGAAAGAAAAAAAAGAGTCTGTATAAAAGATGACGTCATCTGCATTATTTTTATGCTCGTGCCACCTTTAATTCATTTATAATATTTAATTTTTTTAATTTTTTTTAAAATCAGACGGTTGTGGCATAAGTATGATGCCGCTAAAACACCCGTTCGTCATCAGGTCGTTTGCGTCATTACCTGCACCTGAATGTAATTCGTTCATACGCTAGTAAAGCAAAGCAGTGTTACTTTGCACTGTTTACTTTACCCACACTGGTATGCGATTTGACTCCGAAGTTGCGTCAAAGGCCGCGACAATCGCAGACGCAGTCTCACATTAGAAAAAGGACGTCTTGCGTGCAACGGGGAATTTAATCTAATGAAGGCCTAAATTCGCTTTCCTTGAAATTTTCTTAATTAACATTAAGAATGACTCATTAACCAAGCCCGGTTAGCTCAGTCGGTAGAGCATGGGACTCTTAATCCCAGGGTCGTGGGTTCGAGCCCCACATTGGGCGTACATTGCTTTTATTGCACTGATGTTTTATATAGATGTATTTTTACAATCTGTAAACCTTTTGTAAATTATATGATCTATTTTTTCTTTTGACAGTATAATTTATTAATTTAATGATTAGGTGTGATTTACTTTCTTTTCTAATAAAGGTTAGGAATATTTCCATTTCCAACTAACGTCATTAATTTGGTCAGATAGTTTTATCCACCAAGCCCGGTTAGCTCAGTCGGTAGAGCATGGGACTCTTAATCCCAGGGTCGTGGGTTCGAGCCCCACATTGGGCGTACCTTTTATTCCTAAATTCAATCGAACGAAGAGTTCATATCTCCATGGCTGTTTATTATTTTCTTTTCCATTATTTATTTTTTTGATGTAGCGCTATCTGATTTGTTTTATATTCTTGTTGCGTCTGTTTCTTTTGTGTATTGATATTAAGCTCTCAGACAAATGACAAGGGAATTTATTTGGTCTGACTATTTCGTTGATAAAGATTATGAAAATTGAAAGGGAATTTAAAAAAGGTCCAACTAGACAAATTGAGTCAGCCAGATAAAACTTATTCATGAAGCCCGGTTAGCTCAGTCGGTAGAGCATGGGACTCTTAATCCCAGGGTCGTGGGTTCGAGCCCCACATTGGGCGTACATTGTTTTTATTGCGCTAATGTCATATGAAGATGTATTTTAATGATCTGTAAACCTTTTAAATAGTATGTGATCCATTTCCTTTGCTTTTGCCAGTTTAGATTATTTGTCCAAAGATTAGGTGTAATTTAATTTCTTTTCTAATAAAGGTTATGAATATTACCATTTTCAACTGCCGTCATTAATTTGGTCAGATACTCTCATTCACCAAGCCCGGTTAGCTCAGTCGGTAGAGCATGGGACTCTTAATCCCAGGGTCGTGGGTTCGAGCCCCACATTGGGCGTACATTCATTTTGATTGCCAGATTTTTCTTTGATAATGACATAAAAATTTAGAACTTAAAGGAAAATCAAATTGGTAATTTCTCTTTAGTTATCGTTCCTTTTTCGATAATTTTGTAATTTGCGTTAAGAATGGTGTATGTGCATAATTGATACATGTTTATGAATTGTTCAATACAATGACAAGTTGAATGTGACTAGAATGGTGCTGTTACACGTCTTCTTTTATTAACCACTTTTATTAACCACTTTTATTAACTAATGAACAACATTATTTTGTTATTGCTTCAGGGGTATACTTAACAACTATCTTGTTTAATACTTTGTGTTGTGTAATGTATAGCGGCATGAATCATGTCATCTCTCTTCTCGTTTCTTAGTTTTCACATTGAAATGTAATGTCTGTTTGTTTGAATCCAGTTAATCATATGGATTTGTCATTTGTTTATATAAGAACTCTTACGAATATAAGAACACTGATTTAACCAAAAATGGCCCGGTTAGCTCAGTCGGTAGAGCATGGGACTCTTAATCCCAGGGTCGTGGGTTCGAGCCCCACATTGGGCGCATCGCTTTTGCTGCATTTAGTAGATTTGTCGAGTGATTGTTTTAATGACTTTGGTTTTTGTCCCCAATCCTAACTTATTTCTTCATCAAATCAAAACTTAGCTCTCACGTGGTGGCAGATGTCAGAGGATTGTTTGGAGGAGATCCTTTTTTCCAATAACTATAGAGTGTGTGACAGACTTTGCTTTAAAAATAATCTTGAAAATAACAACAATTACATAGAATCCCTTGCGGTGTACCTCAAGAATCCATATTTGGTCCATTCTTCTTCTTCATCTTATACACACATTATCTATGGATCCTTTAAAAGGTTACTTTAAACATTTAAAATAGATTGGGTGTTTCGTTTTATATTTAACATGCACATGTGGAACTATACTCAATGTCGTTGTTACCGATTCATTTTGTTGTTGTCAAAGAAAGGTGGACGTATTGTCCCTGAATGCGTTATCATGCCATATTGTATTAGGGAGTGAAATTAATACGTGTCTCATCTTCGACCTTCACCGCGTGCGTATATTCTCTATCAAGCTAATTAGGAATTAGCTCCAAATTTAAAGGGCATTGTCCGCCGCTGTCTGAAACGAATGTATTGTCCCTTTTCTTTCTGCCCGCCGACCTTGAATGTATCTTTCATTTTTTTAATCATGTTAGGGGTGATTACAATTCACTACTCAGCCTCCATGCTACCAGGCTGTAGAGAAAGAACTTTCATACATTTTCATATTGCAAATAACTTTTTTTTCTTCAAACCTTTTGGTTTGTTTGACAGTATCAGCCTTTTCACACACAGCTAAAATTCATCGTATCTAGAGATGATTAGTATAAACATGTTTAACTCAACAGTTTTAAACACCTTTAAAGAAAATTGTCTCTGTGTGAACATCGTTTATACGATGTTCGGATAGATGCGAAGTCGCGATTCATACGCCCCTCAAAGAGAGCTTGACATTTGGTGTGTGAACGGTTTAAACGTGTTTAAACTGGATGGAGCGTGTGCTTTGTTTGATATGACCTGACCTTCAATGCGCAATGGCACTACTGCGCATTTTAAGAGCAGTAGTTAATCACGAAACGATTAACGATCACACCGAAATTTCTTTGTGTGAATGATGTCGTATGTACAGCTGATTAGTTTAAAGCCCTTTAAACTAATCATGTTTATAGAATTTTAGCTGTGTGTGAAAAGGCTGATAGTTTGTCGGTATAAATGCGCCGTTACATCTTTCTTGTGACATTTCATTACATTTTGTGTGTAGATGCACTTTTTTGTGCTTTTGAATTTTCCCATGAGCCACCCAACCCCAGCCACACCGAGCCTGGTGAATGGGTTTTATAAATTGGTTTTGCCATCACTTCTAATCACGTACAATTAAACAAAATTCTTGTAATGCGAGGGACAAATTGATGGCATCATGTTCATCAACATTTGACAGCTAAAAAATTCCCACTTTTGACAAAATGACAAGACTTTTACCTGCTTGCCTTGGTCTCGCATAGATTGTGATGGCCAAATATTCTCATCACAACCCATCGACCTCGGATGTGGCAGTGGGCATTTATTATTCACACTTTTAGCCTTCATCATATTACGTACAGCTCAACACATTATGCATGGTATATTCTATACTGAAGTGTGAAGTTCTCCTCCCCGTTTCTTTGCTCGCTATATTGGCGACGATGTGTTAATTTTTTCTCCAATTAACGGAGATGACGTCGTTAAACGTACTGTCAGAGATGAATTATATATCTGTGTGCGTAGAATTGTGGGTGATCGTGTGTGTCGGACATATTAAAAGTATCAGGATAAGATATTATGTTGTGTATGTGTGCGTGCGTGTGATCGCGTGTGTGTGTGTGTGTGTGTGTGTGTGCGTGTGTGTGTCGGTGTGCGTGAAGTTATACATGTATGAACTGATTTTATTTTTGTTTTCATCAACCGTACAATCTATGTAATGAAAATGTTTTGAATTCATGTCAAGAAAAAATAACTGTATTTTATATCTAAGATTGACTTGTATTCTTTGGAATCAATAAAAAAAAAACTATTGAAAAAAAAGAAACACAAATCTATGAAGGAAAGTCACCGGTGCGCTGACAAAAGAAAAGGGGACGTTTTTGTATAAATTTAAGATCAGCTCTTCCTCTTAACCTCTGTGAAATCTATTTATGTTTTGGTATTAATCACAAGTCCGTTATTATATATATATATATATATATATATATATATATATATATATATATATATATATATATATTTATATATAGGCCTATATATAATTATATCTCTTTCTCTTTCTCTCCTACAGTCATATTCCTGCTCGTCGGAGGTAAAACCATGTTAGATGGCGACCAGCAGACCTTCCTGCTGGCCGCCCGGCAGCTTGGCATGACGGGCGAGGACGGGCATGTTTTCATCGTCATCGAACCCTTCCCGGATCCCAGCTTTACGTCGCCCTGGCAACCCCTCCTCAGCCCCCACGCCAACGAGACGGTGGAGGGAGACGTCACAGCGGAGGAGGCTTTAACAGAGGCTTATCGGGCCGTTTTGATGATCACAATGAGGTAAGCAGTAAATAGCTTCGCCTGAAGAGTGCTCACATCTATAAGTATCGGGTTAAAAGAAGGTGAAGCTATAGATAATAATTGCGGGTCGCTCTCATGGATAAGGCACGCATTATCTACAGAGAAGGTTGAGTTCTCGGCCCCGTAACACAATGCTTAAAGCAATAATGATGGAATCCTCAATTCATATATGCAGCAACATTTTCTTCTCATTTCTCTATGTATTTCATTCTATCCCTCTGTGCCTCAGAATAGTTTACTAGATCGATGGCGCATAATAAATGCTTTATTTTTATTATTGTTCCATTTCTCTCTTTCCTCGCTTTATTTTCTGTTGTCTTATATAATTTTTAAATTATCATTATACATTTATGTCTCATTTGTCAGTCGTCATTGTCTCTTTTGACCTCTCCAGTGTTCACTATTCTATATACGTGTCGTATTAAGTTGACAAATTATGGATTTATAATCGTATTCTTGTTTTGCCCCTTTTTGGTAATATATGTATATATATTTTTCTTCAAGTCAATATATTTACATGTTACAAAAATGAATTTGTCATTATTTTGAGGGATCCACATTTTACAAGCTTTGCTTTTCAGTGGATCCCTCCATTTCCACAGGTTTATCTTAAATAAACTTTTACAAACCCATTATACTGGATATTTATGAATACTTTCTATTTCATGACTTTAAACCATGTAAAATGTATTGTATTATTGAATATTGAATTGTTTATCTGATTTCTTGTCAAAATTACTGTTGGAAATGAAAAATAAAACTTAAACTGAAATGAAATTGTAGATATTATAATAACGCTCAATGGCAAAATGGCTTTCATTTCTGTCTCGCACATGTGTTACAGGGCCCTGGCTAAAATGAAGGTCTGGACCCTGCTTTATAAAACTTGTTATCAATGGCAAATTACAATGAACTGTTATATGCTACCAAAATAGTATCATTTAGAATTATGCACCTTTTATAATCTACAAATTCAGGTTTTATTTTGTTGGTAACGAAGCGAGAGGGAACATATCGAAAAAGAAACTCTTAAATATTCTGTTTTATTTGGTGAAATATAGTATACAAATGGAAGAGCATTCAAATAGAAGAAAAAAAATGAAGAAACGAAGTATACAGAAAGGGAAACAAATAATTGGAATAACATAATAAGTATGTATTTATGAAATGAAGAAATAAAGAAGGCCGACAATAGTTATTTATACAAAATAAAGGAAACAGACAGTCTTGAAGCATGAAGCGTTATAAGTATATGATCGCAATATTGATAGTCACAATGCTATCGTGTACACATGTTGCCCATTCTTCCCCTGATGACGATCCTATGGAATTTAAGAAGAACTCTTCTAAATTGGAAATTAATGTTCCTCGAGGGGATTCGCTGTAAATGGCGTATCAATAAGAACTCTAAATATATCTCCGATTCTGGAGAATTTGAATACTTCCATTAGCAATTTTCGATTTAAGTCTCACTTAGCTAAAGGCGTTTCTACAACTCATTAGAAAGCAAGAATGGCAATCCAAAAGGAATTGCTTATGGATCTTGAGTCTTGGGATAAAAAAATATGTAAGAAATAAACGAAAAGCAGAGTCTGTGGAATCGGAGACGTACAAAAGGAATGGTTGGGAGTGGAGGCATCGCATCCTATTAAAAATGTATTTTTAAAGCATATTGAAAATAGGTGATGATTATTTTGTTATTTTCCTCTTGCTCTCATCTCATCTCTCCTTTTCTCTATCTTCTTTTCTGTCTCTCATCCCATCCTCGCTTTCCCAAAATTCTTTGGCTAATCTATTTATCCTTCTTACCTTATCATTCAAAAAATATTATCTGAACATCTTTACATCGCCATTCTCTCTACCTCTCTTCACCTGTAAATACATATAATAATGTTCATGAATTTGTATGTCTGTATATGCGACCCCCCCCCCCCCACTCTCTCTCTCTCTCTCTCTCTCTCTCTCTCTCTCTCTCTCTCTCTCTCTCTCTCTTCTCATTACTTTGTATCCCTCTAACTTCCACTTTAAGCTCTGTCTTGATCACATATCCCCCGCTTCTCTCTCTCTCTCTCTCTCTCTCTCTCTCTAACCATTTACTTATCTTTGTCCCCTCCTCCAGTCTGCCTGATGACGGTCGGCTTGATGACCTCATGAGTGACGTCACAGATATCATGATGCAACCTCCTTACAACGTGGAATTTCCAAAGGTCAGTGCACTATTACCTCTCCCTGAAATCATGAAACAAAGTAAACTTACCAAAGTTTCAGACGAAACACGAAAAGGTAATTATTTCCACAAAAGACAATAAACATTCGTCAAGAGATATACCCTGTTCAATACTTTTTTTCTTACTAATAGAACTTTAAAAAAGGAATTAAAGCAGCGATGTAAGTGTAATTCATTTGCTTGATAACTCGATGCAGCCGACGCCGAAATCAAATTTGGGGACTTTTAATGAGTTTTCGAGACGGGAAAATGGGTCGAAATTTACTAAGCATGTTAGCAGTCTCTAAAGGACAATTTCCGATAGGATTATTTCCCGTTTTGTCCCTCAGTGGTGCAAATATGATTTGCGTAGATAAATCATGTTACACGTCTAAACGTATTGTATTTGACAATGGATTGGGGTCTCTTTCACAATGAACTCTGTGAACTTTGTGCGGCAACAGCGGAATGGAAATTAGTGACCAAGAGTTGTGTAAAAATTCTTTGAATTTCTTGTGTCTGTTCCATCCGAGTTAAAACGATGACAATTGTCTAACATTTGATGATTGGAATTAAAACCAAATAACGGGTCAATGTTGAGAAATTGCCCCAAATTAGGCGTTGTAGTCTATTCGATTTAGAAGTAATTTACTTCGTTTCCCCTAATACGTGAATAGAGTTACTGTTGACGAAATTCTGACCTGTACGACATTTAGTTGTATTCCTGCGCTTAAGAGGCTTATTAGTACAGCTTTAATATTCCCATTACATTTCTCTCTCTCTCTCTCTCTCTCTCTCTCTCTCTCTCTATCTCTATCTCTCTCTCTATCTCTCTTTTTCTCTCTCTCTCTCTCTCTCTCCCTCTCTCTCCCTCTCTCTCTCTCCCTCTCTCTCTCCATATCTCTCTCCCCCTCTCTCTCTTCTCTCTCTCTTTCTCTCTCTCTCTCTCTACTTCCTTAATTCTCTCCCCACCTCTTTCTATACATTATGCTATTCCAATCTCACTCGTCGTTTCTCTTATTCTTTCATCTCTTCGCCTCTATCACTATCTACCACTGCCGTGTTCCTCACATTAATCTACCCCCTGTCTTTGAATGTGTTTACATCTTTTTATCCAATGTATCTACCCCCCCCCCCCCCCCCCCTCCCTCGTTCTCCCTCAGCTATTGTCGATCATCCATTATCAGCGTTGATCAATTAGGATAATTACCTTCGGAATACAGGCATGTTAGACTTTCCTAACAAATAGTGCTTACAGGACAATACAACGGAAGAATAAAATACACAGAACATTGCTAATTGATGTTTTTGCACTTCGACTTTGACTAACATGCACAGTGTTGTCAATGATGTTATTGCCTACTCCATCTTCGCGATAATAATAACTTAATAAGTTTATTATATTTTGTTGTCGAGGAAGCCTCGAGCTTCTCGATTAGCGTAAATGCTTTTTAATGCTTCTTTTTCTTTGAGCAGTAATCTAAGGGAATTAACTCAATGCAGTATAATTTTAATTCTGTAAATGCGATTTTGGAAAGCAGGGCACATTGGCGAAGTTCACCGTCAAAAAGTTGCTTGATCTGCTCAATTGCTGTAATTACGTAATTAGATTTCAGAAGAAATTGGCATTCACTTATTTTGTGTGGAATTTACATTAAATACTTCATTTTAACATACATGGTGTAATTCGATATGTTAACGATCCAGTGTGAGATATTCTTCAGTGTGAGATATAATTTGGTGAAACATAATTTATATCTTCTTTTTTTTCTCTTTTTTTGCGTTATCACCGAGATCAAACAATTTTTAACCTCTTTGGAACCAAGTGTGAGAAAAAAAACTGCCTAACATCAAACATTGCAACATGTTTCACAAGACACTACACAACAATAATACGTTGTATTAGCCGAAATAGAGTATAGCCAATTCTTGTATTAAATGGCATGTAAATACATCTATTATAATCATTATCGATATCATTATTGGAGGTGTCTTTAACAAGTAGATACGTAACTGGAATGTGAATCATAAGGGTTTTGATCCGAGTCCCTCCTTGGCACTAATGTCCTGTATGAAGACGTTGGTCTCAAACTAGAAATAATAAATGGGCACCTGGGGCCCGATTTCACAAAACTCGTCATCAATGACAAATTACAGTTTTTTTGTTATAAGCTAGGGAAATCCTTGCTTCTCATTGGTCATCAGCAGATTTGTTACTGATTTGTGTCATTTGTCATTGAAAAAAGGCTTTGTGAAACGGGCACCTGGTATGAACTTATTAATTGAAACCTTTCATCGCCTTAGGGCAGCAGAGTTAAAGCCACTGCAGTATTACTATTTCTGGACCCGTTAGCATCCCCTTGGGATTGTATAATCACAATACAAATGTAGCTATCATAATTATATTCACTCACATGGACATACAGGGGAAACGTTGAGCATCCCCTGTATAGATTATAGGTAAATAAATATATATATTAATATCATCAAATTATTATTACCATTTGTTTATGATTCATATCTCATTTGTTTAATACATACTTTGAATAAGACTGAATACTTAAACAAAACGAGTTTCATATTTATCATCATATCATTATACAGAATTGAAATTAAGAGCTTTTCGTTTATTAATTCCCTTTCATGCACCTTCCCCTTTCGGTGAGAATATATAATATTTCTAGTGAAAATATATATATATATATTAATGAGAATATATGTTCTTTTCTTCTTAGCCATCGATCATGTCTGCTTATCTCTACGATGCTATCCAGCTTTACGCGCATGCTGTCAACGTTTCCTTGGCAACTAAAGATCCTCCTCTCGATGGCGCGGTACTGGGGAGACTGATGCAAGGGAATGTCTCGTTTCAAGGTTAGTGTACCTTCAAAAAAGTACATCTACATCTTTCACTTTAATTGATATTTTATTCAGCTCGTTTGAAAAGAAAATAATATATTCTCACTTAAACCGGGACTACACTACTTGTAGCTTCTTGCGCCCTCTGTACATCCAACAATGCCTAAGCGGTACCCGTTGGTTCCCCATGATCCCCTTTTTCTTATGTTAATTGGGAGCTGATTTGATGAGATAACAACCTGCAAGTGACCACGCAGGGAGGTCTAATCTCTCGTGGTCAAACTAGTGCAGATAGACTTTAAAAGGATATGCAGGGGTGTTTATTCAAATAGGTTTATACAGGTTTAATTGATTTTATTCACACTAAACCAAATACACACTCTCCTTTAAACACTGCAAGGAATATATATATTTTCAATGAAAAGAATATCCTCACTGACAAGAATATATATTTTCACTTAGAAGAATTATGATCAACTGAAACATTAATATATTTCTCACTGAAAAGAATATATATTCTCATTAAAACTATATTTATACATTCTCCCTGGAGATATTGTATATTCTCACCGAAATGGGAGAGGTTGAAAAGGTGGAAATTCTCGTTTCAAGGTCGATGTCCATTCAGAAAAGTACTTCGCCATTTTTCACTTCAATTGATTTTTAATCAGTTCATTTGAAAGAGAATACGAGTCATGTTTATATACTCGCTTTAAAAAAAAAAATTCTCACTTATAATGATATCTGTTCTCACTGCAAAGAATATATATCTCCTAGGGAAAGAACATATTGTTATCACTGATACAAAAGAATATATAATCTCACAAAACAAATTTGTATTCAAACTGGATATAATATATATTTTCCTTTAAGTACACACAAAGTTAGAGTAGGCCTATTTGAAAAAAGGCATGTGAATATATCGTTTTCCATAAAGTACATCGATAATTATCTCAAACGGAAAACAACAAAAAATTCTAGGTTAGACATGCAATGCAGATCTATTTCGTCTATCTATGGTTTAAACTTACGGATAATGTCATGAATACATGAATTCTGAGCCCCCTCCCCTTTTTTCTTCTTCCAGGAATGACTGGTACAGTGATCATTGACGAGTTTGGCAGTCGAATTTCTGATTTCGATATCCTGGACTTACGGGTGAGTTTGTCTACTAGTCGGGATTCGTGATGCCCCTGTCACACCGGTGAATAGATAGCAGACAGGCATCAAGACCGAACAAAACAAAAATTAAAAAACTACGAATGACTATTATGTTATCGATCGGTTTGGCAGAGTGAATGAGGTGTGACCGAAATAAGTCATACATTTTTATTCACCTTATCATGATTTGTATTAATCTCAATGTTCACCAAGTGATTATTTTTTAAATTCACACCAGTGAATAGATAGCAGACAGGCATCAAGACCGAACAAAACAAAAATTAGAAAACTACGAATGACTATGTTATCGATCGGTTCGGCAGAATGAATGAGGTGTGACCGAACTAAGTCATACATTTTTATTCATCTTATCATGATTTGTATTAATCTCAATGTCCACCAAGTGATTATTTTTTAAATTCACACCAGTGAATAGATAGCAGACATGCATCAAGACCGAACAAAACAAAAATTAAAAAACTACGAATGACTATATGTTATCGATCGGTTTGGAAGAGTGAATGAGGTGTGACCGAACTAAGTCACATACATTTTAGTCATCTTGTCATGATAATAATATTAATAATAATAATATTTAACTATCATGATTTTTATTAATCTCAATGTCCACCAAATGATTATATTCTAAATTGAAATTGTTCAATGATTCTTACGCCATTCTAATGAATAAATTGTCGAATGCATTGTTTCATTAAAATCATCTTGTTACAAAGTAAAAAAATCAAACCACATGTGAGCTATATTTTCTTAAATTAAAAAAACAATCACTGGCAAGAAAAAAAAATAAGAAAAAAAAAAATCGTAATTTTTTGTTTTGTGCCATTTAGTTTTCCAAAGTATGAAAGTGCTCTCCCCTAAATTCGCGCCTAGTATGTAGTTAACTTTAAACCCTGATTTACACTTCTGTGTTTGCAGGAAAATACCGGATTCGAGGTAGTAGGGAATATGAGTATGATGAGCCGGATGTCGTTCGCTGGCACCATACACAGCGCCATCGATTGGCCTGGAGTGAAGCAGCCCCTTGATGCGCCAGACTGCGGCTTTGACGGAGAGCAGTGCTTCAGTGAGAAATGCATTTATCATGCCCATGCCCTTTGAAGACAGTTTGTCGTTTCGCTTGCGTTAATACCTGCGTTAATAAACATGTGAAGGCTAGTAAGCCCATGCGGCAGTTAATCAACGCCACTGAACATTTTGCTTCCACGTTTGTGTACGAAGCAAATCTCCTTGTCAAAGATGGTGCGTCAATGCCTGCACCAGTCGCTAACGCAGACTTACGTCAGTTATTAGGCCCATTCACACACAAGTTTAGTGAAAATTTAACGCGATTCAAAGCTCACATTGCAGGGCCCTTAGTAAAAACAGCACTGATGCTGATGAGGCTTCTCTGGGCAAACAACATTATTATTATTATTATTGTTATTGTTTTTGTTATCATTCTTCTTCTTCTTCTTCTTCTTCTTCTTCTTCTTCTTCTTCCTCTTCTTCTTCTTCTTCTTCTTCTTCTTCTTCTTCTTCTTCTTCTTCTTCTTCTTCTTCTTCTTCTTCTTCTTCTTCTTCTTCTTCTTCTTCTTCTTCTTCTTCTTCTTCTTCCTCTTCTTATAATTATTATTATTAACATTTTTTTTTGGAATTGTTATTATTAATATTATTATTATTATCATTATTTTATATGTTGTTTTCTTCTTTCGCATATGGATTCATATCTTTACAGCACGCGGCATCATCGCTGCTATCGTAGTGGCCGTCATTGTGACAGTCGGTATCATCATCCTTGTTCCCGTTGCAAGGTAAGTGTTTACACATCCATGAATATATTATATCCAAAATACCTTATTCTGATTAAAACAAACTTAATAGTCAAAGAGAAAGAAGGAAGAGAACTAGTGGAGGAGAGGAGAGGAGGGAGGATGAGGAGGAAGGGAAGATGAGGAGGAGAAGCAGAGGAGGAGAAGAAGAAGATGAAGCATGAAGAAAGGGAGGGGAAAAGGAGTGAGGAAGAGCGAAGGGGAGGAGGGGAAGTAGGCTGAGGAGATTGAGTTGGAGAGGATGATAGGTGTGAAGAAAGTGGATGCGGAGTAGAATCAGGAGGAGGTGGGGAGGAAGATTGGAGGAGGAGGCAATGAGGAGATGAGAAGAGGAACCGATGAAGGAGATGAGAAGAGGAGGAGAATAAGTCTAAGAAGAGGAAAGGGGAGGGTATGAGGAAGTAGGAGTTGCAGAAAAAGAGTAAAGGAAGAACGCGGAGGATGGGAAGGGGAGGGGAGGGGAGCATGAGGAGGAGAAGGAGCAGAAGGAGGAAGAAGAGAATAAAAAGATAAAGCCCCCCCCCCCCAAAGGGCATAGAGAAAAGCAACATGGACATGACAAGTCATCATCTTCAATATAATTTTTTTAATAATCTTATTTTGTTCTTCCATTTGCCTTGTCCTGAAAATGTTAATAACACATCGTCTCCAAGTATTAATAACGAGCAATGAAACAAAAATGTTGCAGCCAACTGACATTAAGTGGAAATGTTGATTAAAAGGGTACCTCACAAACTACTGCCATCATCACCATTATCATCATCTTCATCCTTCGGGTCCCTTCTATGGGGGAAGGGGAGGGGGTCTTCTCCAGGCGCGTACACAGGGGGGGGGGGGGGTGTTTGGGGGGGTTAAACACCCCCATTTGGTATTTTTATGTGTATAAACCCCCCTAAAAAAAACCAAACCCCCCCCCCCCCCTTTGTTTTTTTTGTTTTTTTGTTTTTGTTTTTAATAATTAAAAAAAAAATATATATATATATATATATATATATTCACATGACTGACGAGACGGAAAAAAGTGGCCCCTTACCCCCCCCCCCCCCCCGCTTATTCAGCGGCTGGCTGAGTCGATGCGAAATTTTCGGCCCGATTTAAAAATGTTAAAACACCCCCCTTGAAAAAATCCTGCGTACGCGCCTGGTCTTCTCGTTACCGCTCTCCTTCTCGTTCTGTCTGTAGTCAATGTCATGTAACCACATTATTCAATTCGACCTTCTTTCTTTTTTCTGTTTTGTTCCCCATCAGACTGAAGTACGCTAAGTTCATCAAGGGTTCGGATTGGGTAATCGAACGCTCAGAAATCATTTTCATTCCTACGCGAGACAGTGGCGGGGTAAGTACTCAACCTAAATGTTAACACGATCCATCGCACAGACTTTCGAGAAATCAACCCAAAGACAGTTCCAATAGCCAATAGACCGGGTTACTACCATATTCAAATGTATGGATGTTTATTTTCTGGGGAAGAGACAGAGTGACGAGCTATTCCATTATGAACATGTTATTAATGAAAGATCTACAATCGGCATACATTACGTGTTGCTACGTCGTGTTAGCCCGTATGACCGTCTGAATAGGTATTTTATTATTTTTGTTTTGAATTCATACTGTTGTTACTGTTGTGTTGTTATGATTTTATGACATGATTTTATAATCCAATGTCACCTTGTTGTGACACATTATCATCACGATAAATAACATTTCTTTTAAAAATTGAAAAAATAATTACTTTCAGAGACAGTGAAAAACATTTTAATTTACTGTTGTTGAAGATTTCATATTAAATTGGCAATCACAACCCTGTTATTATTTTTCTACATCAAAATGAGCCCACAGTTGATATTTAAAACACTTTATTGTATGTACCTTCGAAGGATTCTACCCTGAGTTAGTGATTCGGGGAAATGAATAAACATAGAGTTTAGACATTTTGCCAAAAGAGATAGAGATTTAGAAATGCATGTTTCGTTTTACTTTAGCTACAAAATTTAAACTGAAACATGCGTTAGTTCTTTTTCATCCTTTATACGTTTAAACAAAAAGGGGAGAAATCGTTTTTCATGTGTCTGTCAAACAGAGTTGAGAAAGAAAAAAAGAATTAGAAAAAAGAATCAATAGTGTCTGTTTATTAAACCTTAAGGGAATATGAAGCAATGTGAAATAAAAAGCGTTGAAATGTCATGAAAGTTAAGAAGTGAGGAGGTAGAATACACAAGTTCGCTTCGCAAAAATCTTTGCGTTTTCTATTTACTTTTCCCTTTAGAATTACAACGTAACAGCATTAATTTTAACCTTACGACCTTGTCGTCAATTATACGCATTCATCCTGCAAATTGCTAAATTGTCATACTTCTTCACCTGTCACTTACATGTGTTTTGGCGGGAAATGAGAAACAAAACCGCGCGAAAAAAAAGGAGGGGAGAGAGAATATCGCTTTTATCCTGATGTGAGGCGAATATTAGTTGAGACGATATTTGCACTACACGAGTCAACGCACCATTAGGCAGGCAAAGCGTGGAAAAATCAAGATACTTGTCACATATCGCATGTCACGACAGCCATTCCTGTTAACACTAATAGGCTTTAATTTGCCCAGTTTCATGCGCCGTTGGACACGCGCAGCCACCTCGCCATGATAGCGTGCACGTCAGCGACGATGTGGCGATTAATAATTTGACCCCGTAATGGAAACGAGCCACGGATTTTGTGGAAACCGATGAACTTGCTCTCTTTGATATGGAATGAAAGATTTGTTTCATGTAACACTTTTAGGTAATATTGAATATTTTATAACTTCTCTTCGTCTCCCGTAGCCTCTATTTATATATTTGGCTTTTAAATCATTGAATTGATGTAGTCATGACAACTTCTCTGATTAGGAGAACCTAAGTGTATTTTTGTTTAAAAATAATAACTGATAAGTCGTATAGCAGAGAGAGAGAGAGAGAGAGAGAGAGGGGGTGGGGTTATGAACATTCAAAAACATATATTTTCCTCTTCGTGAAGTACATGTAGGTTCATTATTTTTATTATAATAATAATAATATATAACATTTTATTAGGCGCTTAATACAGGTGTTTCTAAGCGCACCATTGCCTTGACTTAAAATTACCAACTAAAACTTGTAATAAACACAAAAAATATAAATATGATCTTTATTCAATAAATCAAGCATAATAAAAATAAATAAAAAAGAGAACAAACATAAGGTCAAACAAACATAAGGTCAAACATGAGATCAAACAAAATTATCAAACAAACAAAGAATAAGATGGTGTGCACCTCCTTTGACCGACTCACAACTGCATAAATTCTCAATGTATATGGGCACGGGGTCATGCACCCCCCCCTCCTTATTGAGAATTTATGTCTTATCGTGCCACTTTTATTCCAATATGACGTATTTACCTTCTTTCTCGGTCTTCAAAAGAAAATTTTTGTATTCTTAACAAAAATAAAAAGTAAAATTGTAAAATGGCGAAAATATAAATGCGCAGTTGCAGAGGATAAAGAAAACGGTTGCGACTATCGCAAACATGAGAATTAGGATTTTGAGGTTATGAGGCGAAATAATTTTAAGACGACTTATTGGATAGTGAATAGAAAGAAAATGCAACGTTTTCATAGACTCAAAGGAAGGGGCAGAAAATAGCCTCGTCAAATGAAGAGAAATTTCTTTAGTATCGCGGTAATCCTTTAATCCGTCTCAATTTGCGAAATGTGAAAGATACATGTAAAAAAAAAAAAATCCTGTAAATGTACCATTGGTTCATTACTTTTGTTTCCATTCTGACCGTTACATTGCATGACAAAAAGATGCTTGCAAATATGTATTGAAAGGAGGCAGTGGCGAAGCTATATGGGCACGGGGTCATGCACCCTCCCCCCTCCCCATGTAATGAGGAAAATAGGGGAGAAATGGGGTCGAAGGTGGGAGAAAGGGTTTAAAGAACGGGGATTGAAGATGATAGGATCTCCTCCGTCCCCCTTGTCAATTCACGTTTCATCATCGAGTAAAACCCAAGACCCCCCCCCCCCACCCACCCCAATGATGAAGTTCTCCCTAAGTGGTGGGACCAATGATACGCAAATGCAAGGAGATACGCACTCGAAATTTTAGTCCTTGAATGCTCCTTTTAGAAACGAAGGCATTCAATGGTAGCGTAGAAAGGCATAATATTAGAAGAAGAAAAGAGGAAAGTGGATTTAGGATGAGGCATATAGATGGAGCAAAAAAAGGTGAAAAAGTACGGGCATTTGAAGATAATATTGCACGCTTTCGCATTGATCTAGTTTCCCAGTATGGAAAGGCGGAGGAGAGCAATTAAGACGATCAAGAGATATTGATACGATTATCATCCAAAGGGCGACTGTCCTTTAATTTCTAACCTGCGTTTGATGACCCGGATTGAGGCACGATGATTTAATGCATTGCGTCCTGAGGAAAAATTCGTCACCTTAAATTTCCCTAATGGTATATGGTCAAGTAAATTTTGGTAGACCATCAAATTTAGCTGCGTGCAGTTCTTGAATCTGCATGCAAACTAATTTCACCAAGTCCGGGGTTAGCGAATTTTGACGCAATGCACAAAGTTTCTAGCACTCCCCAAAAACATCAAAGTTGAACAGAAATGAAAATTTTTCCTTACAACTGTCGAAAAAAATACTTTTTAAGTTTAAGTTTACGCTTGAAAAGACGAAAACAGAGTTAGGGGTACGACAATGCATGCTAGCGGTGTGTTCATATCTTACCCCGATCAGATACCCTTCAAAGGCTTAGGCGTAAATTCATCGCCGGGTGAAACTGAAAATAAACAGAAAGGGAAGATATGCAACTGAGCCAAGAGCAATTTGTAGGCACATTCTGACGTGAGAAAATCATACGAAACTCGAATGCAAAAACGCCGTTTAAAGAATCGTTGTATAGCGACAGGATATAACAACATCGTGTAAAAAAACGTCGTATAAAACATTCTTGAAGACGCCATTTAATGATACATTGTTGTGCGTCAATAATTGGCCAATTACCATTGCGTGTTTGCGCTAAGCCCCGCCCAGTTATTGAGGAAGGATTGCAATCTGCGACGTTCAGACGAGAATGGCACCAATATTTCGTTTGAAACAATGCAGAAACATGCGTGGCGCTGTACGGTATTTCGTTATACAAAACGATGCGTTTCGTTACAAACGATCTTCAAGCTATAGAGACAAATTACTAGTAAATCGTATAGCAATACTGGTTTCGGTAGTCTAAACGAGGGGTTATTTTGCGACCTCTTAGCGTATATTATAAGGAGGCCAAAAACACTGGCGGTATTACGAGCGACTTGAGCGGCCCTCGCTAATTTCAAATCGAGGATTTAGAGCCACTTTTGCCAGGAAGACCACCGGGAAGCGACCCATGCAGCTAGAATTAATGGCCCAGGGGGGGGGGGGGGGTCTAGATCACACAGGAACTGTTTCCCTTTATTATTTTTCTTGATTTTGTTTTCCTTTTTAAAAAGAAATCTATTGATGCACGCAGTCTTTCTAATGAACCGTAATTTACTCAGCCCGACTGAAGTCTATAAAAACATTAGCTCATTGAAATTGATCACTTCACGCACCGAGAATAGAATAATTTATGTATTGTGACGTTTTGAGTAAAAGCGTCCTTATTTGGTACTAACGTAAATTGAAGTCTCCCGGGATAAGGGGAAAAGATGTTTGAAAAGAGATGTAGAGAGATTAGATGGAGGGAGAGATCCGGGAGAGAGAGAGAGAGAGAGAGAGAGAGAGAGCAAGAATGTGGAGGAAAAGAGAGCAATACTTTTATAGGGAAATGTCTCTTCATTATTTACAATCTCACGGGATATGTTATGACGTATTTTTGATCTCTTTGTATAGGTATAACGCCCTACCTTATACATAATAATTTCTCGGAAATAATATCGCTAGTGCTTTATTTAGCATAATAATTTCTGTTTGACTAAATTCATCGCAGAGAAAATCGTATCCTCCAAAATATATTTAATTAAAACCTTATTTTAGACGACAACCGACGGTAGATTAAAGCGCATTATTCAAACGCTGCATCGTCGAACATGCTATGATTCTGTTTTTATGCCTGCCATAATACTGTCTTACTGGAACAACACCGCTTTGGATAATGACTATTTTGACCCGGTGATGCTGGATCTCAAATGAATTTGATGACGCGTGAATAAGTCCTAAATGACGACTTAAAAGTTAAAGATTGGAATCATTCGAGAAGCCAATTACAGGGATTGCAACAATATTGTCATTCTATTGACCTCTTTTCCTATCCATTATGTATCATACATTATTCTTGGCTGACCGAGGCAAATGAAAATATTTTCTTTTGCATCAAACTCCAGGCCTTCCCGTCCAATTACCGCCTTCAGAATATGTCGAACGCGATGAGCAAGCAATCCCTACTGTCTACGGTATCTGTGAAGGGTAAGGACGCCAACAAGAAAGGAAAAAACTTTGCCTTCGCAACCTACAACTCGCACACTGTGGTTCTGCGCAAAGTAGAGGTGCACGATTTCAACTTGACCAAAGCCATCAAGAGAGAATTAAAAGAGGTAAGTTGTGCTACGTGAACACAAGTTACATGATTCTAAGGCAGTATTTCATTGCGCAAAGATATATTTGCTGCTCACATACAATTTCAATGTTAGTGGCTTACCCTTAGTTTGTGCTTAATTGACGTCAATCGAAGACAAACAATGAACAGAAGACTCATTTTTTGTGCTTGATTTTAATTGTGCGCAGGGAAAACAATATTTTCCCTCCGTGAAGCGTCTGTTGTTTTAGTTATCCTTTTAGCGAGTGTTGCATGGATGTATTGTTTTGCTTTCCGTATTTTTTAGTTTTCCTTAAATTTGAATAAAGTAAAATAACCGCCTCTGTCTCTCTCGTATGTTCTCTCTCTCTCTCTCTCTCTCTGTGGTTATCTAACCCTTTTCTAAACCCTTATTTTTTCTTTTATTTTCCATTCTCTAATTCCTTTCAATTTTCCCCGTTCTCTTGTCTTCCCTTTCCATTATTCTTTCTATCCCATTCTTTCCGTCCTTTCCACTCTCTTTCTTTTTTCGTTGTTTCTTTAACCTCTCTCTCTCTCTCTCTCTCTCCCCCTCTCAATCTCCTTCTCCCCTTCCCTTCCCGCTTCCCCTTTCTTTTTTCTTCCCTCATTGCAATCCCCCCTCCGCCTCCTCTGCTCCTTATCTATATTCCCTCTTTTCCTTTCCTCACACCCCCCCCCCCCCTCTTCTCTCCCCCCTCCCCTCCTTCTCTTCTCCTCATACCCTCTCTAGATGCGGTGGCTTGTTCACGATAACATCAACCGGTTCCTAGGCCTATGTTTTCCGTCGACCAGCGGTGATATGTTCTACCATGTCAGCGAGTTCAGTCCGAAGGGCAGTTTAAAGAGTATCTTAGCTAACGACGACGTCAATCTCGATCTTAGCTTCAAGGCCTCATTCATCCGCGATCTCGCCAGGGTAAAAATGATAACCATGATAGATTTAACAAAAAATGAGATAAATGTTTAGTTCTGTCAGGGCCTTACAATATGTATACATATATATATATAGAGAGAGAGAGAGTAGGAGAGAGAGAGAGAGAGGAGAGAGAGAGAGAGAGAGAGAGAGAGTGTGTGATTTTTTTTTTAAATGGTGCTACCGATGATGTTCGTTCATTTTTGTAGACACCGATAAGGCACCGAGAAAAGTGTGAAGAACTTGTTCTAAATCTTGATAATGTTGATGGGGGAACTCAACGCCTTCCCCGCCGGTAGCACTGAAAATCCAGCCAAAGATGTATGTGTTGAACTATCCCGACGATGTGTTTGGATTGATTTGAATGACTATGTGTTTTTGTTCTCCCCAAAACAGAATCAGGTCACCTGATGACACTCAATCAAACAATTTATCATAAAAGCATACAATTAATGTCAAATTTAAGAAATTAAAGTTCACGTATATGTAATTAAAAAAAAAAACATCTAAAAGGCATCGTTAAATCTGAGTGTTTCAGTGCCTGTGATATGGTGTAATATTGAAGCCTTAACGAAAATTGCGCTTTAAAATGATCATGAAGTGAACATCTTTGAGTGACCAATTTTACCATACTCCTTTTTCCCAATAGAATGTAGTGTTATACAAACCGTTAGGAAAACAAAAATTGAAATTTCGATTTCCAATCATTTATATCTTGATAATCAGACAGGCGATGTTCCTGATTGACCTAAAGCTTTATAATTATGATTGCAGCATGAGCTAAGTTCAGGATTGTTGTTTCATAATCTGAGACAATGTTACCGAGTCACTTTAATTTTTTGGTTAAAACCTTGTTTTATTCAGGGGATGCAGTTTCTCCACGCCTCTGAAATCAAGAACCATGGTGTGCTCTCCTCCAGCACGTGTTACGTAGACAGTCGATGGGTCCTCAAGATATCCGGATTCGGTCTCCTGTCCTTCAACATTCTGAAAGAAGACGTCATGAAACAAAAAGATCCCGAAGTCAAATTTTCAAGTGAGTATATATATTTATTTGACCACACATTTAAAAAAACTTGTGTAGAATAACTTGTTAAGAATAGTAAATTGTAAATGGGAATTTTTACAAATGGGAATTTTACAATTAAAGTGTGTATGGTATATAACCGCATGAACAAAATGCAAGTATCCTCAAAATTGATTATGATAATTCAAAGAAAACTACAAAAAAAGAGACGAGGGACAAGGAAAATAATGAGGGGCAGAGAGAGAGAGAGAGAGAGAGAGATGGAGTGAGAAAGAGACAGAAATAGAGAGAGAGAGAGAGAGAGAGAGAAAGAGAGAGAGAGAGAGAGAGAGACTGGCAGACAAAATAATAGTCAGTCGGGCAGGCAGACAGGCAGACAGGGATAAAAAGATATGCATTTTAAGTTTAAAATGTTTGCCCGGTTTTTAAAGATGATGAATATGAACTATGATTATAATGATAGCCTGTTCAGACGAAAACAACTTGTATTAAGAAACATCAGAATATAATTACAACCTTGCCGCTGTGATAAGTTTTTAATGTTTGATTTTAAAAAAAACGAAATCATTTGGGAAGATATATAACTAAAATACTTGACAGCTTTCTAAATAGTAAGATGGTTAAACAACAAAAA